TTGTGAATATTGGATAAAATCAGACTTACAGCACTTGGATCATGAAATGGGTAAAATTGCTTCTAAAACATTTACCAAAAACCCTCTTCCATGCTGTGTGATAAATAGCAGACTCTGTTATGGCAAATGTACTATTTTATTAACTCATAGAAAACATTCTGAAGCATTGAAGACTTTTAGATCTATCTTGCTCGTGACTTTTATCTTCAGTAAGTTCCTGAAATCTTTGATGTATTTATGGAGAGTGTCAAATCCCTTAATATACTCCCTAATTGTTCTTTCTCCTTATATGGCAGATTTCTCAGGTGTATCATTATTAAAATGAGATTTCAAATAGTAATAATTCTGAAATTTGTATCCATGAATTAATTATAGTTGGTAGGTTATGGGTATATATATCCCCATTTGCAAACATTTATTGGACACCCACTGTGATTTATGAGCTGAGGTTTTATTTAAAAAAAAATAGACAGTCCAAGTTAATGAGGGTAATTCTTGTCCATTCTAGGACTGTTGATATTTATCTTTGAAGCAATACTAAAAGCTTGCATGTTCTATACCTACTACATACCAAGTTACTATGTAAGTGCTTTGAGTATACTATTTAATCCTCACAACAACCTGTGGGACAGGTGCTGTTCACAGAAAGGTTAAAATAACTTGTTCAGAGTCACAGATCTAGAAGATGGCCAAGCTGGGGATTGAACCAGGTGATTGACTCCAGATTCTACACCCATCCCCACTGGACCTTCTGCATACTCTGGGATCAAAGTAAGAATGGAGTCTTGAACTTACATAATTAAAATTCCTGCTAAATTACAAACAGCTTTGCAATTTAACTGGATTTTAAGTATAAATTTTTTATAAATTAATCAACTGCATTATGTGCTAAAATTCATTGAAATCTCTTATGGTATTGTTTTTTCTTAGGAAAAAAAATAAGGATCTTTCAAAGTCACAGAATATAACTATACACATTAATTTCTCCATGCCCACATGTCCCTCTGAAGTGTTTAAGGGGGGATAGACTTAAATGTGTAGACTCCAGAGTCCCACAGCAAGGGATCAAATCCCACTTCTAACACTCATTAGCTCCATGAGTTGGAACAAGTAAAATTACCTTTATTAGCCTGAACTTTCTCATATTTATAATGAGATTGAAAACAGTGTGTATTTCATAGGATTATTTTAACTAACCAAAGTAGAAGAATTTTGTTGGTGCCTGCTGTGTCCCAAATTCTGGTCAATGTTAGCTGTGGTATATAGGCAGTCCCATCAGGTACCCTACCTGGCCTGGCCTGGTCATGGGAGCTGCTCTGGGGTAGAGAAGATTTCTCTTCCTACTAGTACAACATCTCTCTACCATAATGAATTTTTTTTGTGATTAATCTTCAAACTTCCAGGGACTTCATTCAGTTTATATTTATTATTTCTTCTTCAAGCAACTGTCTGCCTCCTTAGTGCATCATACTTTTAATCTTAAGAGGGATTTCATTTTGAAAGAATCTAGCAGAAAATGTGACCTTAATGAGATCTTTCAGTAAGAAAATTCTGTCTTAATGACTTGTTTTGTGAAGTAACCTTTTAAGAAAAATCCAAAGACTATTCAACCTTCTAATTCTAGGTGTTAAAGTGGGCCAAAAGTGGCAGTCATATTAAAGATTTGAAAGTATGTCTCTGCACAACGATATTTTTTAGTTACAAAGCAACTGTTCAAACCTTTTTAGATGGTTTGGTAATGATATGCAGTTCTGTTTTCTTTTTTTTAAATTGCTATTAATGATGACCAGGTTGGTGAAGAAAATTATATAGACTGGTCATTGGATTGAATTCTTGTTATTATGAAGAAATTACTTTTCTGGACAAATGGTATGAAGGTTAAAGATAGTGTATCACCCACTGAAGTTTTGCATATGGAATACCAAAGAACTATTAGAATTTTGGAAATTTTGTTTGTATTGTGGAATGTCATTACAGTATCTTTGTTGGGCCACTATGAAAAAATACAAAACTGAGTGACTTAAAAACAACAGATTTTTTTTTCTTATAATGCTGGAGGCTAGCAAGTCCAAGGTCAAGTTGCCCACCAATTTGGTGTCTGGTGTGGACCCACTTCCTGATTGCTTATAGGACTGAAAAAGCTAAGGATCTCTCTGAGGTCATTCATACCATTCTTAAGGGCTCTCAAAATCCTCATCATTTTAGGGTAGGATTTCAACAGATGAATTTGGAAGGGACACTAACATTCATACCATTGTAGTATCTTACGTTTCTTGCAGAATGTTAGTTCTCTGTTGGTAAAATATATATTACTATTCTTGTACATGTTTAAGAAACAAATTGCTTTTCTATTACAATGCTATTTAGTTCAAGGAATCATTATCCACCTAAATTACAAAGTCTGAAAAAAATTATTCTCAGTTTACTTGTCCTTCATTTTTCAATTAGTTACCAAGGATGATCATTTTATTTTGCAAATACACCTTGGAATTATCCTCTCTGTAGTATTCCTTCTAGCCTAGTTTAGAAGACTCATACTCATTATGAGCCAGAGTATCATAAATGATACGAGCAAACTTCCTGAAAAGTAATAGTGAGTGGTAAGATCCTGGCAAACTAGATATCAGATGTCCTACATGGTGCTCAGCTAGAGAGAGTGAGTGACTCCCTGCCCTGTGTGGAGACTCAGTTTAAAAAGTCTGAAAGTGGATGTAACTCATGGACTGCCAGCTTTCAAACCGAACTTTACATCATTGTCAGTTTTCTTCTGTACTGTGGCTACATTTGTGGCTAATCCATCCTCTGGTTCTGGCATCAGAGGAATGTTTTCAAGATTCTAGTGTAAATTGGATCACTCCCGTTTTATAACAGCTTTCTCATTACTGAGATGTCTACTGTATAAAACAAAACTCAAAGTTCTCTCCCTTGACGTGTAAGGGGCCCTTCTTGGACCTGGCCTGTTTGTATCTTTTCCATCTCACTGCTTATCTCTACCCCTCCCTCATGTACTGTGATCCAGAAATACAGAATTATATAGCTTTATCCAAGTACACAGCTTACTGAGGTCCATGCTTGTTCTTTCTGCCTGCAGTTTTGTTCTCTAAACCTTACTTAGGTGTGGGGAACTTTCCTCAAAAGCACACTTGCTAAGCAATACTAAAAAAAATTCTCAGAATACAGCTGTCCTTAAATGCCTTGCACGTATCACAGCAATTCATTTGAGTTTTTATTCCATATCTTCCCACTTCATTAATTAGCATCTGTCTTCCTTTAATGCATACGCCTTACCTGACTCCCTGTTGTCCCCTCAGAGTCTTGCAGTATTGGGGAACATTGTATGTGTTAAGACATGTATGGACCTAGCTTAACTTGTGGCCAACACACTTTCTATATTCTGAAGTGCAGGTGTTAAGAAACAGAATGATGGATGTTTTGTGGACATTTCTTAAAGGAACAAATAATTTAGGGAGACATAAAAATACTCTATCTCCAAAGTGATAGATTTATTTATTTTTGATTCTGAGTCATATAAGGGTTATATGTGCTCAGATTCACCTTATTTTAGGAAATTTCAATGGGGTATACTCAAAGAGAAAGTTCTATGTAGGAAAGAGGGCAAAAATGCCATAAATATCATTTGTGGGTTGATTTCAGAAAACACTAATACATATGATATCACCTAACTGTTGACTGATTGGCCCATAGCAGGTGGCATCTCTGTCTCCACCAGTTGTATTTAATGGGCATTTATATAGAGTTTGGCCCATGATGCTGTTTGAAGCAATATTCTCTTTACACTGCATCAGGTATACAGTTCATAATTTTTTGACCTATGTGATTTATGTGTCTGTTTTCCACAGCTTTTGTTTTGGTATCAGAAACCATTAATCCTTCAAAGTCCTGCGGTTGTAATGTTAACCGCCAACAGCATTGATTTGCAATTGGCATGAGAGTATACTTCAACCATTGTATAATTCTGATCTATTTGTGAATGATGACGTTTTTTGACAATGAAATTGTTGACTATAGAATTTTCCTTAATACTTCAATAAAAGTACATTCCCTCTAATCTAAGTTATGCCCCTGAGTTGAATGTCGTGCTTTTACATGAAATTTTTAATTAAGAGTAGTGTTTAATAGCTCTAAGTCTCCCCATCACTGAGGTACAATTAATAAACTAATTATTACTAGTATGGATCACTACTTTTATGAATTCACATAGATATTAATATATATTTTATATAAATAACATGTGTATGTATGTATGGGGGAGTCAGCTATTATATCTTGTTAGCAATCAGCAATGGATTTTATTTTTGATTTCTTTCTAAGGTTTTGAAGATAACATGTTAAAGTCTAATTGTGATTCTTTATGAGCTGTGTAATTTAACCTGTGGATTCTTATAATAACAACTAATGTCACAGAAGCTTTTTAAAAAATTATATACTTTCAAGACCCCAAGGGTATACTTCATCCTGTGCATACATAATAAGAATAATACCCTTCTTCAGCCTTAATAGAATCTGTGATGGAGATTCTGGAACCATTAAGGCCCAAATGAAATATTTTTAAAAATTATTGAGATGTATTTGTTTTGAGAGAGTGTGCAAGGCAAAATGACATTAAGCTGAAGCTATGGAGAAAAAATGGTGAGGAATATGTAGGTCAGTACAAGTATATGTGAGCTGACCTGCTAAGACACCTACACACCTCAAAAATGAAGGGATTTCAAATGGGTATCTGGTCTCTGAGGAGAACAATCTGACATTCAGTTCATAGTCAGTCGATTCAGTTTACTTTAGACGACTTTAGGAGGAAAGGCAAAAAGATAGCTGCTTCGCTCCCCAAAGTTTTCTTTAATTGTGAAAATATTTCAGAATACTAGTTTCACTTAAAAAAAAAAGAAATGCTTTCAATTAAATGCTAAGAGATTCCTTCTTAGAATATGGAAAAAGCTGGGCGTTAACTAACCATCTTAGTGGATTTTGATATTTTTTAGGGAATGATGTACCTAGAAGAAAGACGGCTTGTTCATCGGGACTTGGCAGCTCGAAATGTGTTAGTGAAATCTCCAAACCATGTGAAAATCACAGATTTTGGACTAGCCAGACTCTTGGAAGGAGATGAAAAAGAGTATAATGCAGATGGAGGAAAGGTAGGTATCTTTTTGAAAACAATATTGATTGAAAATACAGTATGGTATCATTTTATCTTTATTTATTTATTTTTTTTTTTAGGAAGAAACCAGTTAGCCTGAGGTTTAGGAGATTATAACCCAGTTCTATCACTTGTCCTTATTCCTGCTCTGGGTCAAATATATATATATATTTTTTTTTTCCAAAAAATAAAAATATAAATCCCAAAATATAAATATTTTGCAATGATAGGCTTCCAAGTGCTTAATGTTGATTTTTTTTACCCTAAATGCTTATATGCCTGCTACATTCAAATCTTATCAAAAGGTGAAATAGCACCTTTTGATTTTAAGAACACCTTTTGATTTTAAGAACATATTTTGACTTTTCACTACCAAATTGCAGTAGCTTGGGACCTCAGCTTTGAAGTTCACTACAAGATTGCACAGGAGAAAAAGTCTATAAATCACATGACTTCACTTGTCTTAAGAACATACAGCTGTAAGATTTGTCTAAAGCAAGATTCATTACAGCTTTAAATGCCTGGTAACCATTAAGTCTTTATCAAGCCACCTGTGATTTAAACTTACTTCCTTAACACAATGTCTGTAGTCCATAAACTCAGTTAACTCCTTGCCCATAGGGAAATCATTTTCAATGTGTCTCCTGTTCCCTTTCACTGAATACCATGATTCTGTCATGGAGTTACCTTGATGTCACCTTGGTGAGCAGCCAACCTCATGATTTCAAAGGCCTATTTAGTTTTAAGCTTTCAACTGCGAAGTAGAAGTGTTTGTCTTTATTCCATAGAATCTAATTATATTCCCAGACATACAATGCTGCCCTTCGGGTTGAAATGCGTTCTGCTGACCCATCAACAGCAGAGTATGTGGGTTGAGTTGTTTTTCTTGTAGTGATGATGGATTTGTGCTGATCCTCTCACTTTTTTGTTTTTTTTTAATATACTAGTTCCTGTTTTGAAACGGTACAGATTTTCAGTACTGGCTAACCCAGACAAGGGAGGTCATTTGCTGGGGAACAAAGCAAAGCTAACTTTGAAATTCATGATTTTAAACAATTTAGTGACCGACTTACATTAAGAGAGGAAGAGGTAAGTGTAGAAAGGATTTATTGTATTCCTAGCTCAAATTATGTCTGGAGTGAAAAGGGATAATTGAAAATATAAGACATCCCATTTTTTAAGAAAAAATATAACATGGACACATTTTTAAGAGGCAAACATATTAGAGGTTGGGTTTAGTATGTGGGTCATAATATGAACTCATAACTAGTAAAGTAAGAAACTTATTTTAACTTTAACTCATAACTAATAAGAAAGTTGTCCCTATTTTATTATTTTACTTTTTTATTATATGTTTTAGTCAGCTTTGTTCATTGCTGTGACCAAAGATCTAACAAGAACAATTTTAAGGAGGAAAAGTTTAGTTGGGACCTTGTGGTTACAGAGGTCTCAATTCATAGGTGACTGACTCCATTTCTTGGGGCCTGACATGAGGCAGAAAATCATGGTGGATGCATGTGGTAGAGGAAAGCACCTAGGAACATGGCACCAGGAAGGAGGACGAGAGGGAGAGAGGAAGAGAGGAAGAGAGAGAGAGAGACAGACAGACAGACAGACAAACAGAGACCACACACTCTGCTCAACAGGGACAAAATATAAACCACAAAGACATGCCCTAGGGACCCACTCTCCCTAGCCACACTCTACCAGCCTTCAGTTACCATCCAATTAATCCTTGATTTATTGCCTAAATCAGTGGATTAACACACTGATTATGTTAAGGCTTTTATAACCCAATTATTTCATCTCTAAACACTTTTGCATTGACTGACACATGAGCTTTCGTGGGCTACCTCATATTTAAACCTGTGTATGAAGCTTTTCTTTAAAAAAATAAGTACAATACTTTAGGGACAATTTCACAGAATCTTTGAATTAATTCACTTTGTAAATTTCAATCCATTTTTTCTCACTATCTTGAAAAATAACGTATTAAAATTTATATCTATAAACACACAAAGAATATAATTGATCAAGTTCAGAGCTTCAGATTTAGTATGTATATAAATTGCATTTTTATATAAAACTTTCACTTCTTATTTCTTTACAGATGCCAATTAAATGGATGGCACTGGAGTGTATACATTATAGAAAATTCACCCACCAGAGTGACGTTTGGAGCTATGGTAAATAAATCTTCCTTATGAATTAAGGTTTTTAAGCCAAAAATAAATACATTCAGTTAATGTAAAATATTCTAAGTCAAAGTATTTTATTGTGTTAAACCATCTATTTATAGGCCTCATTTCCTAAAGAAATTAACTTATTTAAAAATGAAAAAGAAAAATACGGTAAAGAGAGTACTTTTTATTTTTTTATTTTTTAATTACATGGTCTTCTAAAAATGGAAAATGTTGATATCTCTGCCATCAGCTCTGGTTTGGTAGCAACTGTCTGATCATTTTTACTGAAAACAAACACAAAAACAAAAATTGGCCAATTTTAGTTTAGGGATAATTTCACAGAATCTCATGGTGTTAATTTTCAACAATTCTTTGAAAATATAATTCTGAATGCAAAGAATGTTGAAGGACAAAATAAAAAGAATGACAGCTTTTTGTTTTCCTTTTTGCTATGGGAATTTCTGTTCTATGGTAGAAAATTTAGAGATTATGGTCATAACAATTAACAATTACTGAAAACAGAGGTAAGAGAGAAGACTTCTAATTGCAACTTCAGTTTTAATTTACAAACAACTTTTGGAGTAATAGAAACATTATAGAGTGAATAATATGAATTCGTAAAGATTGATATTTATAATTAGAACATTTCTTTCTTTGTGTTTAACTCAGTGGTTATGATGAGCTCTTCAGCATCTATCTGGCTCCTTACAACTTGGTCTGCTTACCACTTAGCAAGAGTTAAGGATTTTTCTGAGTTTGAATATGACATAAAAATAGCATTTATTTAAAATAAAAAGCACCAAAATGCCTTTTTAAATGAAAAGTGTAATGGTGGGATTTAAAGATCTAGTACAATTTGTTTTACTCAAATTTAAGCTTACTTTTAAGTTTTCATTAAAAATAAAATATTTAGACCATTTAATTACTAAAGAACTCACAACTCTTCTGTAGAAAAGAAATTCATTATTTCTAAAAAACTACTTAAGACATTTCAATAAAATGTGTCTCCCCTGTGTATGCCATAGGAAGTATGTAAATTTCAAAAAGACTGCACATATTCTACTTTTCTTAGAAGTATAAATGTGTGTTTGAAGTTTAGGGAAATATAAAGAAAAGCCTGGCAAAATTTAGTAGATGTGTACTTAACTGCAAATGATAAGATAGAAAAGCAAATCTATCACATATATGATAGACATTTTATATAATGCAGATTAGCATACAGATTATTATTTATGTATTACATGATAGCATAAATACATGATCTGGATAGATTTATAAATTATGTATCACAGAAGATTTATGTATGTTCTTATGTATATTAGTATAATATACACATAGGCTTTTTTCTTTCTATTTCTTTTCTTTTTGTACTTTATTTTCCATGAATTAGATGTGATAATTTGCTGGAGGCAAATTTTAAATGATATTAAAATAAGCCAACAAAAAATGTTGGCAGAACTGTCATAATTTTAATAATAAAGTGTGTCTTTGAAGAAAATCCTGTTACTTGGGCTGTACTAGTTTTCTGCATGTTATGTTTCTAAAAATCTCACGTTGTTTAGTAAAAATGAAGAAGTGGAGATACAGTATTCTGTTATGAAACACAGCCCAGGTCGTCAATACATATTCATCAGGCACTTTAAGATTCTTATGATATATCATAAGTGATTGCAAAAGGCATAAAAGGCAGAGAAAGCTACATAATCTTGTTTATAGTACACCTTTATGGGAAATTATCACTGGCTGCATCTTTATATTTATAAAAATGTGCATCAGCTATGATGATATATATATATATATATATATATATATATATCTTCAGGTGATGGAGCTGCAGTATGTTTTTAAGCTGTTTCTGATTGAATTTTTCTGAGATTATCCTTTTCCATGAAGCTATCCTTATTTAACACTTATTTTGTCATCACTCTACCAAGAAAGGATTGGATTGTTCTTATAAGTGGGGGTTTGAGTTTCAGCTTTTATGTTTGTATATTTGCTTCTGTCAAATATATATTTTTATTTGTAATTGCTGTGCAGTTTGCTTTTGTTGTAAGTTCTGATAGAGATGTGAGAGTATCTATTCTGACTTTTATAACTGCCTACCTGAGTTAATAAAATGTAATCATTAAATGCATATTATATGAGTATGACTAACTAGAAATGTACAACCATTCATTCCAGTTGGCAGCAGAGAAGAAAACATAGCCTTACCTAATGGATTTTTAAAATTTATCTGTCTGTACTCATTAATCAAACTCAGGTTGTAATATTATTGTGCCCACCTATTTACAATTTAAAAATCTTTATCCCTAAGAAAAATGTAACTTTAATTATGTGGTTGCTTATTATATCATAAGAAAGAGTTCTTTAGTATACATATTATTGCCTGAATCAGAATTACTATTGTTATCAAAACAGGTTGTTTGAATGCTTTTAGTATATTTTTTCCAGAGGAATCAGTGTCTACAGTGGCTCAAGAAAGTAATTTCATTATGCAAAGAATAAACTACTCTTGATTACTTTCCATTTTGGGGATGCCTACTTTTTAAGTATTATATCTTACATATGAACTGATCCCTGCATTTTGGTTCTCATGTGATAAATGACTTAATATGCTTTATTCTACTTTTTTTCTTTGTTAGTGAAAAGGTGAGCCACAGTTCTTTACTGTGGCATAAGAAAATTATTCTAAAATCTTTGCTTAACTAACTGTTAAGGCTTTTATAGAAAAGAGCTAAATTTTGAGATTTAAAAATCAATTTCAATTTTTCCTGAAATCATTTTTATTTGATGAGCTGAACACATATTTATACAATAAATAAATTGTATTCTGAACTGTAACATAACATGGGTCAGCAAACATGAGCATTATTTATCAGTAGAAATGGGAATAGATTCTACATTCTGACATCAACTCTAAATCACCTCTACTAGGCATTAACATTAAAAATTCCAAAACAATAATAAGAGAATCAAATTCTCCCACAAAGATTTTAGCACTTAGTAAATGCAGGAATCTGAAGAACCTTCTTCAACTTTCTTTGGATTGACCTTTAGGGAGCATTCTTTTGCCCCTTGACATATTGCTTGTTTGTTTGAATTATGTTGTCAGTATGCTTATGGAAGAATTTTATCTCCAATTTAGGAGTCACTATATGGGAACTGATGACCTTTGGAGGGAAACCCTATGATGGAATTCCAACTCGAGAAATTCCTGATTTATTAGAGAAAGGAGAACGTTTGCCTCAACCTCCCATCTGCACCATTGACGTTTACATGGTCATGGTCAAATGTAAGAGTGTGAAATAATTTCGTAGTCATTATCACTGTTCTTAATAAAATAATAGTAGAGAGTATACTAGAGTATAATGTTTCTCTGTATTGGAGAACAGAACACTTGAAAAATCACTGATAGAGCATGTAAACACCTGTTTGCTGTAATTATTAATATACAGTAATATCATGCTTCCCTACTGTGAAGTCAAAGTTAGATGACTCTAACTATTCTTAAATCTTATAATTTTCAGAACTACCTACCATCAAGAAATATAATTAGTTACAACGTGGTTAGTGGTAACATTAATGTTAGTGATCTTTAAGGGAGTATGTCAGACTAAAATTAATGATCTAAACAAAGAAAGCTTGAAACTGATAGTTTAAAAAATGAATTAAATGGAAATAGGTTTGTCAGTTTTTTTAGTCGGAGCAAATTATCCAAGTAGGGTGGGAAGTAGAAGAAATGTCTCTACATTCAGCTAAAATGATTAGGAATGTTTATTTTCATCAACTTGATCATCTGTTTACATCAAACTCTTACTTTTCTTTCCTCTTACTATGCCCCAGACACATATGTATTATAAATGTGTTCTGGAAGTCTAGGCCCTTAATTTAAATAGAATTAGGGAAGTCTCTGGAGTTCCAGACTTAATTTAAGTGAGATTAACAGGAACAGTCTCTCTTGCATAATCTGGGGTTTTCCCCTTTTGAAATACACAGTGTTAGCAAAGGAACCAACTGGTGAAGGTGAATAAGCACCTTATTAATAAGAGACTTTGGACCCAGGTCTACTCAAATTTATATTCATGACATGCATGATGCATTCTGACAGTGAGGCAAGAAATAAAAACTGTTCTTTACAGTTCAGGTCAGCATGCCCTTTTTTCTAAGCACAGTTCTATTTACTCAATATTTAGAGAGGACCACATATCTCACAGTGAAGTTAACCTTTTTTGGCTCTAAGAGTTCCATAAACAACTATTTTTTCATGAACATCTCAGTAATAATAAGCATTTCTTTAAAATGAATATATAGAAAATGTACAGTGTTTGAGTTTTGTTAAGAAAGAAAAAATGGGAGTTCATAACCCACTTGATTCTAATGTATGAAATATGATATGTCAAGAGCTTTGTAATGTTTTGAACAAACAATAAAAAAAAGAAAGAAAAAAAGTAGGTGATATCAATGATACATAAAACGATACCCAAAGAATTCCCAGAACAGGAATAAAAATTGAACCCTAGAATAGGAGAAACAGTTTTTATAGTTTTATTCAATCAAACATGGCTTGGTAAATGTCCAGAGAAGAAAGTATTAAAACATGCAAGCATTATATAATTTGATCCCATAACCAGAATAGGAGATGATTTAGATACTCTGATGAAATGATGTAAAATTAGGCAAAATTTTTACCTTATTAAGCAAACTCTATTGGGAATTTTACCTCCCCCACCCCAGGAATTTTAATACTTTACAAGAGAATCATTTGAAAAAAAAAATCAAGGAAAGCTGATGCTTTTATTCTTGTCATATCATCCTCTAAATAGCATCTAGAAAGATAAGATCCATTTTATCTAGACTCCCATATAAATAATAATGTATACCTTAGAAACTGCTGATAGTATTTTTATGCAGGAAAGGTTAGTACTAAGATAAGCTAATGATTATTGCTGGACAAACATTACCAATATTTTACATTCTTTCTTTTTCCCCACCAGGAAAAAGTGGCACAAAAGTTACTTTCAGTTCTCTTTTCCTCTCTCTGTTCAGTGATCAGTATTGCAACAAATGTTTTCTCTCTTGTCATTCTTGATACAAAATGATAAATTATATTCCAATCACCTCATCTACAGTCAACAAAGTTTCAAAAAATTATCTCCACACCCAAAACAACAACAAAAATCTGATTTTCCATAGCTTCTCATAGTTAGTCTGCATTCTATTTTCTAAGAAGAAAATAAAAATTTTAAATATTTCATCTGATATTTTATAGTATATGACAGTAAATAATGAGTATCAACAAAGTGAGTTCTTTCACTAGCCTCCTTCATTTTTCAGATCATTATTATTAAAACAATATTTTTCACACTTTAGCCTATATTTTCACAAAATTTAAATGTCACTGCTTTTTTCAAATATGGATATGCTGACAATTTTATTGTGTGTAAATTTCCAGGCTGGATGATTGACGCTGACAGTAGACCTAAATTTAAGGAGCTGGCTGCCGAATTTTCAAGGATGGCTCGAGATCCTCAAAGATATCTTGTTATTCAGGTTAGTACACTTGACTTTGTTTTTAAGAATATCCCCCTGGCAAATGCACTGCAAAATATGACAATCTCAACTTTAGTGCTCCAGACCACTAACATTAATTAAGTGTGTTATACAAAAAAACTTATACAAAAGAACTCTTTACCTGATATCAGATCCACCTCTCAGAGCTTTCCCCTAGTGCTCTAATGAATACTATTGAACAGCCAATTGATTATGATGACCTATATATGTAAAAGGGTCTTATCCTCAGAAAAACCTTCTATCACTCTGCTTTTTATTAGTATTCTGTATAACTCATGTTCATTATTGTAATCTTTCCTTTATAGATTCAAAGGATGATGGATTTTTGTTTTAATCAGAGGAAAATGAATCAAAAATTTACAAATAGTAACATTTAGTTTTATAGAAAAATATCTTACAATATATTTTTATATTTGCAGAAACATGCAGCATCTAAGAAACAACTCAATTCAAATGATTTCATGCACATATGGATTAAATAATAGGCCAAAAGATCATTTTATGTTTAACAACAAACATACTTTTGTAAACTTTAGTTAAGAGCAAATTATCTGGGTAGGGTGGATGGAAAAATAGATTGTATGATTTAAAAAATTCTAATTTATCTATGATATTTTTTCACCCAAAACATAAACAAATAGACCTTTGATACACTGAATTATATTTTCTTATTAAAACTGAGGATCCTTTATTTCCCTATCAATACTCTTACATTAAGATCAAAGTCACCCTTTAAAGTTAATGATGTCTAGTTATTTTCTCCAAAATTAACCTTTATGAACTGATTTTTTATTAAAAAACATACAATATTGAAAAAAAAAGAAAGAAGGTGATGAGAAAGGGTTTTTTGACACTATAAAAGGGTTTTGGTGTCTCTCCCATACCCATTGATTCTCTTCGCCATTTGTGCTGTGACTTTGAATGCTACCACTTTGACCAGGTAGCCATCATTCATACCATATAACAAATCACAGAGCTTCTGTATCCTAATAACTGAACAGCATCAAACCAACTACATAAAATTAAGATTGATAAATCGATTGCCCTTTACTATTGATTCTTAAAGTCCAGCCCACCTACCATCTTGACAAAGAACCCTTAGCCTCAGATCTGAAGTGGATTTTGCCTCTCTCAAACATCTATAGCATTCTGTTTTATTCCTTTCTGATGTCATTCATCACATTCTTCTTGTATTTTATTTATCTTATAGTGTCATACCTAAACATACTATAGGCTTCTTTATGGCTGAAATTGGGCCAAAGAATAATCTCCTGAAATGTAGACATGGATTTTTTTAAACAGTTGTTTGGCTCTTACATAAATGTGCTACAGAGACCACATATTTAAAATGAAGAGAAGTATCATGTATTTTATGTGTCTGATGGGCAATTCTTTCAGGGTGATGATCGTATGAAGCTTCCCAGTCCAAATGACAGCAAGTTCTTTCAAAATCTCTTGGATGAAGAGGACTTGGAAGATATGATGGATGCTGAGGAATACCTGGTCCCCCAGGCTTTCAACATCCCTCCCCCCATCTATACTTCCAGAGCAAGAATTGACTCAAATAGGGTAAGAATCAATTACATGCCTGTCTCAGAAGTAAAATCCTATGAACATATTATAAGTGCTAAAATTTCAAAATAACTAGATAGCTAAAATAATTTTGATTTCTAAAGACATACCAGCACCACCAAAGATGTACCATGCTTTCCATATACATAATTAATTTTGGAAGACAAGCATGAATAATCCCAATTGTACTCTGAAATACCTCAAAATTTCAAAAGAAGGAAAGTTTTACTCATGTTACTTAAAATGGATCTTAATTTTTTAAAAGCCAATTCAAATTTATAAAACTATATATGTGTTTAAATAATACAAATTCTTACCAAATACACTGTTTTGTTAATAAAAAATGATATGACTCAATGGTCAAGAAGTAATACTAGTATAACTCTCACTTATTTAGGAAGCATTAAATATTTTCTGTCAAATTGAAATACACAGAAAACTACAATTCTTTGATCTAAATCATCCATATTAGAGGATATCAGAATCATTTCCAAAACAGACTTGACTTTTGGAAGAAGCTTCTGAAAATAATTTACATGTGTTTCAATATAGCTTCCTCTTTGTATGAATACAGTTTTTCTCTAAGGGTCATCAAATCCATGTTTGTTCATTTGTTTATTTTTAAAAATTCATTTATCATTCATGCAACATGTATTAAGTGCTTTTGCATAAGAAGCATTAGTACACATTTGAGAGTCAAAGAATTTTGACATAAATTCTGCCTTCAAAGAGGGTCCAGGCTAATTAAAGAGTCACACAGCTACAGAGGTGGAGGACTTCATGATAAATGCTGTAATCAAGTGTTCATTGACCATTATGTAGAATGGAGAAGCAGTAAATTTATTTCTGTAATCAGTGTCTTCCACTGATAACCACGTGATGCTTAACTTTTTTTTTTCTAGGAAGCTACTCATTCTCTTCTCCTCCATCTCAGAACATTATCATAGCTGTAAAACCAAATAGTATCTCATTTTTCTTGACCATAGGCATAAAGAAATTTTTAACTTGCCGTTAATTCTCTAAAATGAAGTTCTTTGCTTTTTTCAGATTGACAGCAATAATAATAAAGTAATGCTTGCCCTTTGTTTACTACTCCACACATAAATGTTAATCCTCTTAACATTTACAACAACCCATAGGTTCAATTTTTATTACACCCATCTTACAAATGAGGAAACTTGCCACAGAGAAGTTAGGTGATTTGTCTAGTTTACACAGTTACCCATTAGAAGAGCAGAATTCTATGTAAGCTACTTGCCTGTACTGTACTGTTCTATGGCTTTAAAATGATTGGAATGTCTTTATTTATATGATTTGATTGTTAATTTTGGCTTCAACCCCAGAATCTGGGAGTGGTCTTATTTGAGAAATTCCTCAGTGATTTTCTTATCAAATGTGTACCTCAACCTTTCACCCTCCTGCCTCCATTTAAAAAAGTCTCAATTAATTTTTCTTTTCTATAAAATATATGTTATTGTAGACCAAGCTGAAAATTATATCACATGCCTAATGGAAAACAGATTAGTAAAAGTTTTAAATATTTGATCCACTGGTATATAATACAAATCACTCTCTATATAGGTAGGAACATTTTTGAGATATATCAGGGAGACACATTTTCCTTTCTGTACTTTGCAAAATGACCAAATTATTCCCTTGTTTTTATAACTTAAGATGGAAAATTCATTGCTTTTTAATACATTAGTGACATTTTAAGGAAACAGTTTGTGAAAGTGAAATTCTTGAGAACCTGAAATTTTTTTCTTATACTTATCAATTTCTAAGTTTTTGTTCCTTTTAGTTTATAATGCTCAAAGCCAGGAATTCTTAGTAAATAAGTTTGAGCTACCTGGAGTTAACAATACAAACTAGAAGTCATAGGAGGACTTATTTGACCCTTATCATCTTTTCTTACTCTGCATCTTTATTTAAACAAAATTATCTATAAATTTCTTTTTACTTTTTCAGTTCACGATATAGGAATTGTGCTTAAATATCATTATATTTTTCAGTTACTAAAAATTCTTAGTAGTCATCTATATTGTTCTAATTTTTAATTTCTGGCTTTATGTAATTTTATGGAAAATTCTAATCTATATGAATGTCATTCCCCCTCCTTAATTTTCTAAGTTATGTTATTTTTATACTCAGGATACAATTATTTCAATTTGGGGTTGTGTGGCCAAATTATCTCCTGAAGGAACCTCTTAAATTTTGATCAGTTGTTTCTTAAGCATGTTTGGTAGATTGAAACTAAATAACAATTCAGTTTTTAAATGTAGACCTGATTGCCCACAGTCTAGAAGCTTTTAGTTATTGTTTTTTCAACTTTGAAATAGACAGTATGATATCTATCTGATGTTAGTGTTATGAAGTGAACTTCTAAAAATCACAGTTTCTGTTAAGTGACAGGCAAATAAATATTACCTTCATTTTACAATCACCCACATTTTATTTTTTTGTCAGTATCATATATCATAAATAATCATACTTTCTTATTTGGTTTTCTACCCGTTACCTGAGAAAAACCTGTTGATGTAATCAAAATTGGGCAAGAAAACTATTTCTATTTTGTTGACTGGTAATATGTTCTAATATCAACTAAATTTTAAGTGTGTTTTGATAAGTAGTAACTTTAAGGCTATGAGTATATTCAAAATACATTGTTGATATTTGTCCAGAAAGTTGATGAAAGTAATTGCAAATAATACTAGAAAACACCTATTAAAATCATAATTGATATCATTATCATTAAATATGCTTTTGCTATTACCTTGAACTTTTTGTCAAAATAATATATACTAAACACTTACTCTACCATGATGTAAAAAGGAAAACATGAGGCACTATTTAATTTTTGCAGCCTTTAGTTCTCTGCATCCATAAAATGGGGATTTAAAAAAATTCTTACAGAATGTTGTGAAGATTAACTTTTTAGCATATGTGAGCATAATTGCCCTTTGATGAACCTGTGGGTGATTCTCAGTAGTATGGAAATAAATGAAAATACCTGCCTTCAGCATTGCTATAGCAAGAATCAACTACCATCATTTGCACTTTAGCAGAAGCTAAGAGGCAGAGAAGTAGGAAAGCTTTGTAGGGTTACAGGAAAGGATTCAGGTCTAGAGAAGCTGTAGGCAGGGTAATTAGAAGTGATTGGTTGGAAGTACATATTTGGTTCTCCGTAGTTAGTTCTCTTTAAAAAAATGTTCTAATTAGTTATACATGATAATAGAATGTGTTTGGATATGTTATACAAATAAGGAATATAATTTCTCATTCTTCTATTTGTACATGATGTAGAAGTACACTGGTCACGTAATCATATATGCACATAGTATAGTAATGTCTGATTCATTCCACTATCTTTCCTATTCCCATTCCCTCTCCCTTCCCTTCATTCCCCCTTATCTAATTCAGAGTACTTCTATTCTTCCCTAACTCCTACCCCTCATTGTGAATTAGCATCTGCATATTAGAGAAAACATTTGGCCCTTGATTTGGGGGGGGGGATTGGCTTATTTCACTTAGCATGATAGTCACCAGTTACATCCATTTACCAGCAAATGCCATAATTTCATTCTTCTTTATGGCTGAGTAATATTCCATTGTGTATATGTACCACATTTTCTTTGTCCATTCATCTGTTGAAGGGCACCTAGGTTGGTTCCATAGTTTAGCTATGGTGAATTGAACTGCTCTAAATATTGATGTGGCTGTGTTACTGTAGTATGCTGATTTTAAATCCTTTGGGTATAAACCGAGGAAAGGGATAACTAGGTCAAATGGTTGTTCCATTCTAGTTTTTCTGAGGAATTGCCATAGTGCTTTCCTTGGTGGTTGTATCAATTCGCAGTCCCATCAGCAATGCATCAGTGTACCTTTTCCCACTCATTCTTGCCTACATTTATTGTTGCTTGTATTCTTGATAATTGCCACTCTGATTGATTTGCATTTCTCTAATCACTAGTGATGTTGAACATTTTTTCATATTTTTGTTGACTGGTCATATTTTTTTTGGTGAAGTATCTGCTCAGTTCCTTAGTCCATTTATTAATTGGACTATTTGGGTTTTTTTGGTATTAAGTTTTTTGAGCTCTTTGTATATCCTGGAGATTAATGCTCTATCTGAGGTGTAGGTGGCAAAGATTTTTCTCCCATTCTATAGGCTCTCTCTTCATGTTCTAGATTTCCTTTCCTGTGAAGAAGCTTTTTAGTTTGATGCCATCCCATTTATTGATTCTTGATTTTATTTCTTGTGTTTTAAGAGTCTTGTTGAGGAATTTGTTTCCTAAGATGATATGGTCGAGAGTTGGGCCTACTTTTTCTTCTATTAGGCGTAGGATTTCTTGTCTAATTCCTAGGTCCTTGATCTACTTCGAGTTAAGTTTTGTGCAAGGTGAGAGATAGGGGTTTAATTTCATGTTGCTACATATGTATTTCCACTTTACCCAGCACCATTTGTTGAAAAGGCTATCTTTTCTCCAATGTATGTTTTTGGCATTTTTGTGCCTAGAACGAGATGGTATTTACGTGGGTTTGTCTCTGTATCTTATATTCTGTACCATTGGCCTACATGTTTATTTGGGTGCCTTTTTGTTACTATAGCTCTGTAGTATAATTTGAGGTCTCATATTGTGATGCATCCAGTTTCACTTTTCTTGCTAAGGATGGCTTTCACTATTCTGGGCCTCTTATTTTTCCAAATGAATTTCATGTCTACTATTTCTGTTTCTATGAAGAATGTCATTGTGATGTTAATAGGAGGTGCATTAAATCTGTACAACACTTTTGATAGTATGTCCATTTGACAATGTTAAATCTGTCTATCCAAGAGCATGAGAGATCTTTCCATCTTATAAAGTCTTATTCTATCTCTTTCTTTTGTGTTTTGTAGTTTTCATCATAGACATCTTTCACATCTTTTGATAGATTGATTCCCAAGTTGTTTATTTTTTTTTTGAGGCTATTGTGAATGGGGTGGTTTTCCTAATTTA